GTTCTGCCATCCCTTTGCATAAGCCCGTTAAGTCTGATACTCAAGGTTTCCCTTCTACTCCTCTTGCCTTAAAGGCTTATGGCCATGCCATATATTGAAACAGTCATTCCTATACAATCACCAAAGTTAAGAAACGTCGAGCCTGGTCATTACCTCGATGAGTGGTGTAATGTATAACAGCTTGGAATTGTTAATTGGAGAGCCAAGTTCCAATTCCAGTTGGGTTTGTTATATTTGCTTACATGCAAATACCTTTGGGAAAGGTATGAATCTACCTCTTTTCATCCCCCAGATATGGGTTAATTAGTAAAACTTGTATACCTAAACTATTATCTTAAAAATTCTTACAATCTAAAAATATTTTCTGGCTTTAAACAACCTGCAAATGATTAAACTAGAAAATTAATCAATCCTGCCTTCAGTTTGTCTTGTCAAATTCTCTAAGCCCTCTTTCCTCATAATGTGTCCCTAAAATTTCAGCATTCTCTTTTTAAGTACAAGTTCTTTTTGTCCCCATTTTCCTTAAAACTTCTTTGTTGCTCACATGTTCACTCCATGGTATTCTCATCATCCTTCTGTAGAACCATATCACTGTTACTCCAATTCACCTCTTCATCAGTGAGGAAATTGTCCTGCATATAGAAACATTGATATTATGTAGCAGTTCAGTACTCTTTTCTTTGTTTCCCATGAAATTTTCCTGTTAACATTTTTGGAAGATGTATTTCACTATTCCAATATACCTTCGGATTTCAGTATCATATTTCCATCATCTGTCATAACACTTACCAGGGTTAAATTTCTGTATTGCTTGATTTTGATGTTTCCAATTTGTAGCTTACATCTTGGGCTCTCTTGCTAATAATCATACATTGTCTTCTTACAGTTGATGATTAGTCCTTTCTTCTTGCTTTCCATTAATATCTTGTCTAAGATTTCCTGCAATTTCCTTTGCGTCTGCTATCAACACTGTGTCATCTGCATATCTTAAGTAATTAACATTGTCTACCAATAATAAATCCTGATAGGTTTTCTAGTTCACTTAGAATTGTTTCATTGTATAAGTTGAATAAATCTGGTGAGAAGATGCTTATCACTATACTAAAATATACAGGATATATATGGATTAATTGTCATCTAAATTACGCAAAATGAAAATAACACTGACATCTCATTTTAAGATATTTACCAAAATTATACACAAATATCTTGAAATACTAAACAATAATTTTATTCAATAGAATTCCCATTGGCTTTAACCACATCCTCCAGACAACTTCAGAATATCCTGGAACTCTTCTGGACTATCTCCTTATTTAAGTTGGTGAATGCTGCCATAATCCTTGCCTTCAGTTCATCTTTAGTGCTGTAAGGAGTTTTGTTGGTCTCTCGCTCGATTACGTTACACACATAATAATCAAGGAGGTTGCAGTCTGGGGAGTTAAGTGGCCAGATGTAAGGGGTGATATGGTTGCAGAAATTCTGTCATGACTGGGTTCTCCTGCTTGTGTGGCATGGTGCAGAGTCCTATTATCAGACCTATGGTCACCAGCAGCCACCCTCTTGACACAGGGCAGCACTACCTCCTCAAAGCACTTGATGTAGGCTTCCATGTTGAATCTGAGGCCCTGTGAGAAGATGAATAGAGGTATAATGTTGCCACTAGCAATCACTCCGAACAGCATGATGTTGACTGGATTATATCACCCAACTCTTTCCAAATCTCCTGCATTGTCCTCAAGTTAACACCCAAAAACTCTGATGTTCATATTAGGACTTCCGATATGAATTCCAAGCAGTGCAGCATGCCATTTCCAAATTTCTGGTTGAGTGAATTGCGTCATGGTGCTCTTTCTTTCTCAGATGGTGCCTAACTGTCTCTACTATACTGAGCAGTCAACAAAATCAAAAACAAACAACATGCATGTGTGAAAGTAAAAATATAAAATGGTGACAATTTACCCATTGCACCCTGTAAATAAGACTCAGCCATATCTGGAAATAATGAAAATAAACAAAATTACTCCAAAGACACTTTGTGAAAATGTCTTGTATATTGAGCAGAAAAAAGTTACTCTGCATTTTAATTGCCTGGTTCATACTCCTCCCAGCCATTTGGACATGAGTAAAGGTTTTATCCCTTGTGTCTTGTTTAGGATTGTGTTTCTCATTCCTTATAAAGTTTTCTCTTTCATTCCCAGTAGCTCTTTGCATCTTAGTGGTATTATCAACCTTGCTTGGGGTGAATTGATTAAAAAAAAAAAGTAAAAATAGAAAAAATAATACTATTAGTTTCAATGTTTTGAGCTTTGATTTTTCATGATTTAATAAGATATGAAAATTTTTGTCTTCATCTACCTGTGCATAATCCAAGGATGATGACACAGATATGGCCACCAAATTTTTCCTGCTTACAGATGGTACTACTCAAGAGCATGTTTTTAACATCTTAATTTTTTAAATTTCTAGCTATTTAAATTAAAGATGATCCCAAAATTGATGTTGATCCTTTTCAAATGAGGCATGATGCAATACATACATCATTCAGATCCATGATTACTTACTGGTACCAAAGTCCCCATTTTTATCTTAAAAATCCTTTCCTTCATAAAGCAGGTTTTCAACTAATTTTTATAATTTAAAATAATGGTTGAACTAAGGCAGTCCTTGTTTCTTGTTCAACCTGTTTTTAAATATTGATGAATCCAATTATATGTTCTCCAGTCATTTCTGTTGTTACAAACCTATTTTATCTCAAATACTTGTTTGATTAATAATTGTAGCTAATCTGGGATATTTTAAGAATATTTCATTGATCCAACTTGTGTACAGTTTCCAGTCAGTCAATGAGAATGAAGAGAATATAGATTTCTTTACACTGACAGTGGATGAATACCTTAGGGTTTATTGTTGCTCCACTATTTGCACACCTAGTTTAGTGGTAGAAGAAATGCTGTTGGCTTCAAAGTTTGATATTTTCTGATGTCACAGATTTTGAACTTGCAACAAAATTCACAGAAGGAAACTCATTCATTTAGTTTGTGTCATCAGCATATTGTGGCTGCTATTCAAATGCTGATTTTTCCCTGCAGGCAACCACTCCTGACTTTAAAGATTGGAACAATACAATTGTTGATTAGTGTTCATAATTAACATATTGCAGCCAGTTAGTTCTGCCTGTTTAACAACCTCTCGATTGGCATTCTGTTATAAGATCTTATAAAATAACAATCCAAACAGTCAGTATTGTTTAAAAATTTTGATAGTGTTTTCTCTTTCTTCAAAATGAATTGAAATAGACTTAAAGTGAAAAATAAAAATTTACTTGTACTGTATTTATAGTAGATTTTTTAAAATTTTGTTAATTACATTTACTGTTCAGTACACTACTGTATAAACATTTAGGAATGGTGCAACAGTGAAATTAATACTATCTGAAGCTGGTTGATACAAATCCATTACACATGTAGTATGCCTGAAGTAGCAGTTAGGTCCAACTTCTCACTTAGTAACCAGCTCAGCTCATTTGAAGAGAAACAGTTGTAAAGTGAGGGCACATGGCTAAATGTTATTCCCCCTATGAGTCTGAGATTCAAATCTCACCATGGTCAATTTCTCTCCCAGAAACTATGGTCTATTTAGTATAGTTACAGTATTGACCAACATAAATGTACCCGAGCTGGCTTCTGCAATAGGGATTAGCTAACCACCTGAGCAGATATTCATACTTGGTTATGTAAGGTCACCCATACATTAATGAGGTGGTGCTGAAAAGTTCTTGGCCCAACCCAGTTTCTAAAATCTGATCAAAATGACCAAACATTGAATTCATTTTTTAACCCTTTCTTGATTAGGCCAACAACTTTTCAGCACCCCCTCATACTAGTTTTATCACCTTTAAGTTTTTGTCTATCACTTTTTATGTTTTCCTCTGTTTTATTTTAACCAGAACTCTGACCTTTTTACATTTGAAACTTGATCCCACTCTAAAATTGTAGTTTGGCAAGTATAATAGATTTAACAGTATTAAATTGACTTATCATTGCTTTTATTCTCTCTCTCTCTCTCTATATATATATATATATATATATATATATATATATACACACACACACACACGAAATAATTTAGGAATTTAATGAACTTACTTTTAATCAGATATTATTATTTTTTGTTACTAAATGTTATTTTAGTGGACATATGTTTCAGTAAATATTCCTGATCTTTCTCCCAACTGTAAAATTAATATTCACTGGCTTAGATATATAAAGTCTTATCAAAGAAAATATGACTCTATACAAAGATCAAACCTGCATTCTCTTATCTTGGCAAACTACTTTGTAGCCAGTCATGCTTTAGTATTTGGCCATATAGACCTCCATAGGAAACAAGGCCCAATTAAACTATTATTTTTTTATTTTATTTTTTATTCATTTATTTTTTTTTTTTTTTAAAGGTACATCTCTTATTGGTATATTTTGATGTCTGTTAGTTAGCTAACTAAATTTTTGAATCTAAAATATAAAAGTAATTTAAACAATGCATGTTCGTCTGACATTATTATAAACACTATTTTAGTGTAGACATTTTATTATCTTTTTCTTCAAGATTGAAAAAAAAAGAAAAGAAAATAATGCTTACAGAAAATTATATTTATTTATTTATTTTTTTTTTCTTTTTATCTAAAACAGTGGACATTAATTAAATGGGGATGTCTACTCAAATGTGTATTCACTAAAATCTTTATTGTTTGTAAGGTTTTTTTTTTTTTATTTTTTTTTTTTATTTTTTTTTTTTTTTTAAGGTCCAAGGGTTTCTTAACTAATAACACATTTGCCATCTATTTGGCAAAACGTCATTGATATTTCTGAAGTGAATACTCGGCAGGATATACAAGTTGAAAAGTTTCAAATATCTTTTTATCATTATTGTAAATCAAGTGGTAATTATTTGTTTTCTTTTTCAGTTGACACAAGACCCCTCCCCTGAAAACTGAAACCATGGAACGGCCTCCATCACCAGCTCGCCTGGCATACACTTCTGACAAGCACCCCAGACACACTCTGGAGGCCATTAATGTTCTCCGCAAGCTCCGAGAACTGTGTGATGTGGTGCTTATAGTTGGGCAGCGAAAGATCTTTGCTCACCGTGTTATCTTGTCAGCATGTAGCCCTTATTTCCATGCAATGTTCACGGGAGAATTGGCTGAGAGCCGGCAGACAGAAGTGACAATCAGGGACATTGATGAAAATGCCATGGAGCTTCTCATAGACTTTTGTTACACAGCAAACATTACAGTTGAAGAAAGCAATGTGCAGACGCTGCTTCCTGCTGCCTGTCTGCTGCAACTGGCTGAAATTCAGGAGGTGTGCTGTGAGTTTTTGAAACGCCAGTTGGACCCTTCCAATTGTCTTGGAATTCGTGCCTTTGCTGACACCCATGCTTGTCGGGACCTTCTGAGAATTGCTGACAAATTTACCCAACACAATTTTCAAGAGGTATGTTTATAATATGTAATTTATGTAAATACCGTGTGAATATGTATCAGGATTTTCTGGAAACTTGGGCATTCATCTACAAAAATTTTTTTGAATGATTTAATAGGATTTCTGAGGATGATTCAACCTAGATAAAACTGAAAATAAATCCAGGTTTGCTTGAAACTCGAACATTCAGCTGTGGAAATTATTTGAACAATGTTTTTTTTTTTTTTCCCCCTCCCGGAATGGTTCAGTAAGTGAAATCCAGATAAAATCTTTCAACCAACACTTCAGACTTGACCTGGAAACCATTGAAATGTTGGCCACATATAGGCTGTAATCAAGAAAAATTAATGATTGACTGAAAGAATGAGATTTGGAGAGTCTATGAACTTTTTTTTTTTTTTTTTATAGTGTATGTTCCTAAATATTAAAACCATTTCAGTCTGCTCTGCAAACTCAAAGAAAATTGTTTCCTGGAAGATGTTTCAAATGTACTCAGTTCCTTTCATAAATTAAATTGATCATTACATGCTTGTGGTATCATGTACTGGGCACCAAATATCAGTTTTCAATATGATTTTTCTTGCATTCATCAGAAAATCATGATCCAGGCCTTGATTTTTTTTTTTTTTTTTTTTTTTTTTTTTAAATTCATTTTTGGCACTGAAAATCCTCTCAAAAGAAGTCTAGATGGATCAAATGTAAAATTTTGAGGAATTTTATTTTTCATTGCAGACCAAAGTTTCTAAACCTAAACTCCTGTTTTTTTTTTTTTTGTTTTTTTTTTTTCATTAGAAATGTGAAAGTTTTGTTTTGATTTTCCTCTTAAGTACAAAAACATGAATACAGTTCCGTAATTGGGCTAAAATCATTTGGGGGTGGAGGTTCAAAAACCACAAATATCCACTTGGCTTTATTGTGTGAACCCATTGTGGCTTTCTCTTAATATGGAATGAATGTTGAAATAAGTCTTTAAGATCCTAAGGGCAATATTTTGAAGCAGTTAAATTTAGGTAGGCTAACTTCTTATTATCATTATTATTAAATGGCTGGATCATTTCAATACAATGCTGAGTTTATTTACTTAATTTTTACTCTAGGTTATGGAGAGTGAAGAGTTTTTGTTACTTCCCGTAAATCAACTAGTCGACATCATCTCAAGTGATGAACTCAACGTACGCAGTGAAGAACAGGTGTATAATGCTGTCATGGCATGGGTACGCTACAACATTCAGGAGAGACGGCAACACCTTCCAACTGTGAGTAAACAGCTTTTCTAATTATATACTGATCTATGTAAATTCATATGCTTAACTTGGTTTTTATAGTAACATTGTTTCTGTTTTTATACTCTCCTAACTTTTTCAGATGTCTGTTTTACTTGGAAACCTTTTAGGAATTTTAAACTAAATCCTTTATTAAATCTATGATTCAGATTGTTCTTATTCTGTTGCCCATGATAGGAGAGATAATTTGTATCAGATAATTTGAACTACTGATGTCTTCGCAGTTTTTCTTTTGTTTTTGTCATGAAGTTCCTACATGCACAATTGTAGTAGTAGTCATAAACTAACTGCTCTATCTAGAATTCTGTCTAATATATAGTGGTATGGTTATGCTAATTAGTATTAACCTAACCAATCCCACTACACTTCCTGGAAGCATTTAGGTTTAACTTCTTGAGTTAACCTATTACTTCTCCTACATACCCTCCTTCATTCACTGGTTTCAAGAGGATTTCTTATTATAGGAGATCTTGACCTACTTCTTTCTTCAACATTCATGGTTTCATTTTTTGACTCCTCAGAAAACTCTTGAGCACTCATTGTTTCTTCTGAACAATCATCTTGTTCTTCTCTATACTCATTAGACGCCTCAATATCTTCAGTCTCCGGGTCTTCATAGTCTGGGCACAATCTTAGTTCGTTGGCATGCGCCAAAAGACCTCTACCATTCTTGGAAACCTACGCCGTAATCTGTCTCTTTTGCATTACAAACCTTACTTTTTCTGGCCCCTCTTCTCCGTTTCTCTTGTACCATATCTTCTCAATCGTTGAGTATGACATTGTTAATGGTGCTCTAATTTGTCTTCCCATTAACGTGAATGGACTTTGTAATCTTCCAGTATGAGGTATTGTATGGTAGCTTAATAATAATCTTGGTAGAAAATTTTCAATTCTCATGCTGTAGGGAGAAGGCTTTTAAACCCATTTTTATGGTTTGTATCATTCGTTCCGCTATTCCATTTGATTGCAGATAAGGAGGGGGTTCTATACGGTATTCACCCAATGTTTCTTAAACAAGAACATAAGTTTTTGTCACAAAACTCTGGGGTATTATCTGTTACCAACGTCCTTGGTACGCCATTCCTGGCAAAGACTATACGTAAAATTTGTTGTATAGTTTCTGATTTTCTATCTTGAATCCTAAAGACTTCAGGCCATGCTGAAAATGCATCCACCAATATGAGGCACAATCCTATACCATTCACATATGCATGGTCCATGTGAACCCTGCACCATGGTTCAGTTTCCTTTGGCCACGAATGTGTCTTGTTCTGGCAAAATTTTTTGATCTTTGCACATTTAGGGCATTTATTTATGTATGTCTCCATGTCACAAGTGTGACCCGGCCACCAGGCTTCCAATTTTAGATGTTTTTGTGTAGCAGCTATTCCACAATGCACATCATCATGCATGCTTTTAATTATCTGCCTTCTGCAACTTTCTGGTGGTACCACCAGATCTCTGTTGCAGACTACGCCATTCTCTATTGTCAATTTATGTCTGATTTCTTTGTACGTTCTTTCTGCTTTAGAACAATTACTCCACTTGTTGTTCCTTATTCTCTCTATGATCCTATTTAATACTGGATCTTGGAGAGTCTCCGTCACAAGTCTATTAATGGGTAATACATCAGTCTCCACCCAATGTAAAATTCCATCTTTCACTTTCTCGTTTTTCTCGTGTTGTCCCTCATCAAACTGTAGTCGTGATAGTGTATCTACATGTGGGATTGTGTTTCCTTTCACATAGTCAAAGACCATCAACTTCATTGCCCATCTTAGTATCCTTGAGGATGTGACCTTCGGCAATTCCTTTCTGGGATGAAATATTAATTCTAGGGCTTTATGATCCAACCTGAGCAAAAACTTTTTTCCTAACAAAAATTCTCTTGCTCTTGTCATGCTCCATACTATAGCCAACACTTCCTTTTCGATGTTTGAATAGTTCTTCTCCGCTGGCATTAACTTCCTGGAAAGATACATCACCAGGCGTCCTTCTTGTGACAATTTTCATGTTTACTCTGTTAATTTCATTCTTTGTAAAGCATTTTGTGTTTGTTAAATGAAAATGCTCCCTTTGTTTTGTTGACACTCTACCCCCCTCCTTTTTTTCTGTCCATTTTGGGAATGGCTAGTTAAATAAATCCTTCCCATAGATTATATAAACAGCATGGTATTGAAACAAAAAACCTCCAATCTTTATGGTTAATTTATAGACACTTGGTTTAGTATATATATTCTTCTGTTAATCTAAGTACTAAATTTAGTGTTGACTTGACTTTAGTTAGATTTAGACACTACTTGTTAAAAAAGGATTTGCTATACTTCTTGGTGCTTCTTTAGAATAGATCTGCTCTTCTCTAAGCCCTTAATATTTTTGTTCATTTTAAACCAGAATAATTCATTTAAATGTATTTATTTCACTAAATACCAAAAAGATAATCTACCAAATTTCACCTTCATGTGAATTCAACATGAGAAGTCAACCATTTCACATTTTATGCTTATTTTGCTGCTTCGATTCACAATGCTTTGATTATTTGTAGTTTTGCATATGTTTCTTGAACTGAGGAAATTCCTGGAATGTTTGACTCTATCATGATCATGACCTATTTCATCAAGATGATCTCTCTCTACAATCCAAACCCAAAGTAAAATATATATTTTTTAAATTTTTATTCTATAGCAATAAGTGTATTTGGGAATTTGTTGACAGTGTGGTGACCAAAATTTTTTTAGTTCCAAAATCTTGATATCATCATTAATAAAATTCTCTTTATGAATCTTATTGATTATTTACACTATTTACATTGTTCAGACAGTTGTCCTCATCTTTATTGATATATTCACAACATTTTAACCATTGTACACTCCGGCCTTCAGGTGATATACATTGGAATTTTGAACCGAAAAAGGGTAGATTGTTCTAATTCCACACACCATGCCTTCTCATTGATACCTTAAACTTAATTTCTCATCAAAATCTTCTTTGCAGATGTACATATACATTTATATTCACTGAAAGTAAATGAACTCTGCAGTATTGCTTTCCCCATGCTGTATTTGGACACAGGACAAGGCTTTATTGAATGCAGTTTATCAGAAATTGTGAATTGCAAGTTTGTGTATTAATATATAATTTTGTGTCACTTCATCCACTCTCCTTCCCAGTCTATGAGTACATGTGTCACCAGGATTAATCTTGCACACACTGAGGGTGGGTCTGACCTTGTCATAATGATTTGAAGCAAAGTTTTATAAAGCTGGATGCTCTTCCTGATGCCCAGTTTGGACAGTCACAGTAGTCCAAGTACACCAAATGTTTTTACTGAGACACCATCTCTAGGAAGGTTGTCATTCAAGGTTTGAGACCCCTATCTTAGCCTTTTATTTATTTATTTATAATACATATGGCACATGGCATCATTACTCAGAGAGGCAGCTTGTGTCCTTTATGAAGCAAATCAAAAAATATATATATATATATATATATATTGCAATCAGAGTAGCCTTCATAATTTTGTTGGATTAGGTGCATATTGTTCCACAGAAGGAAAATGGAGCTGCTGATTATTCAGGGTAGATCTGGCCTACCAAGGCGGCATGTCCTTTATATAAATACGGGTTGCGATGGATAAATTTTCATTTAAATTATGCAAAAATGAAAATAACCTTGACATCTCATTTTAACAAATGTATTTACCAAAATTGCACAAAATTATCCTTAAATACTAAAGAGTAAATTTATTCAATAAAATCACCATTGGCTTCAACCAAGGCCTCCAGGTGACTTTGGAATCTCCTACAAGTCTTCTGGACAGTCTCCTTGTTTAAGTTGGAGAATGCTGCCTTAATCCTTGCCTTTAGTTCATCTTTGTTTTTACAAGGAGTTTTCTTGGTCTCTCACTCAACTGTTCCCCACACAAAATAATCAATGGTGTTGCAGTCTGGGGAGTTAGGTGGCCAGATGTAAGAGATGATGTGGTTGTAGCAATTCAACCCATAGCTGGGAGGTAGGAGAGATAGATTCATACATCTCTCAAGGGTATTTTTGCATAAGTGAATATATATTACCCTCATAACCAACTCTAAATCATACTTATTATAAAACCCAGGTTGTGTGTGTGTGTGTCTGTACGTTTATATATTGGATCGAATTTCCTACATTTTTCAACCGATTTCAACAAAACTTCACAGGACTACATAAAATTACCTTGCTTTGGTTCTGACAGCGCCAAAAATTGGAAAAACACAATTGTTTTTGCATGAAATCAATTTGAAAACACGATTAAGAGGCATCGCGAGAATGAAAGGGGGACAACTCATATCGAGTTATACTTATTATAAAAACCCAGGTTGTGTGTGTGTGTGTGTGTGTGTTCATTTATATATCGGATTGGATTTCCTACATTTTTCAACTGATTTCAACAAAACTTCACTTTTTTTTTTTGGCAGGTAGTGTTTCTTATCTTGCACACTTTTTTCTTTATTTTTACATTCAGAATGCTTTAAAAATTCCATTTACAAGACAATTGTTTATAATAAAATTCTATTCAATCGGTAGACTCATAACAATTGAAAACAATGTTTTTGTTTGGGTTTGACCAATTCGTAAAAAAAAAAAAAAAACTAATTAAGACGTGTGTCCGTCAACCTTAAACAGTAATCTTTGTCAATTTTATTTTTCAGTCTTTATGATGGTTGATACTTGATCTATCTTTTACTGTTACATCCCCGGCCAACGCCGGGCACTACTGCTAGTATGATCTAAATGTAACCATATCAGACGAAAATTGAATAAAATTTGGATTCTTTTGCCAATCTTTCTTTTTTTTTTTTTTTTTTTTACTTTTTTTTTAACTACCATTTATTTCCATGTATAAGACAGCATATAGATAAGACGAAACCCAAAATCTAGGTAACTCTTCATGATTTTTATCTGATATCCGTACTATAACATGATCAACTGGTACCCATATAACGAAACTGTAAATGACAATGTTTATGATGAGCTCTTTGCATCTGATCATGATGATCATCGTAATTTTGAAGGGTTTTAATTATGTATGTGGGTATCTTACGTTTTTTTTTATTCTGTAATGAGAAATACGTTTTTTTGCTTAACAACACAAAAAAAATAATACGGTATAATGTATGTTATTGAAAAATGTTTGACTGTTATGCTAAATGTTTTTATTTAACAGCACAATGATAATGAATTTTAATTAGAAATATTGATTGTATGTTATCCTAAATGTTAAAGCTACTATGAGATATAATGATTGGCATGAATGCACTCATAGGTCTACAAATCAAAAACAAGTTTCCTTTACATTATTTGTTTGTGTTGCTCAGCGGAAATTTTTGCAAATTTTTTGTAATCGTCTCTTGAATTTTAATGTAAAGTCAAGAATTAAAAGTATTAAATTTACAACTGTAGTACAGCATTATAATACAAACTGTTTCAATTAGAATTATTTACATCAGTAGTTACCATACCGAGGCAGCCTACTATAATCCATGGTGCAAGCATACTAGCCTACTTACCATTGTCGATACACCACAGGACTTGGTTAGATTTTTGTAACTGTTGTATTATACGGTCAACCCCGCCCTATTTTGGAGGGTAACTTTTAAGATTTAATGATTGCCTTATATGTGGAAATATATGGTATTTAACTTGATGTATGATCTTTGAGACCTAACTACTTGTTGATTTACTATCCCTAGATATTTTAGGTAAATTTCACTATTTTAGAACAAGAAGTGTATAGTTGCTGGTATTAATAACCTCATTTTATTTTCATTTTTATGATGACTGGATAAATGTGCTGGTAAATCTCTACTAAAAGTTCAATGGCTTAATACAGAACAATGTTTCTGCAATTTAAAATCTTCCATTTATTTGTTTGTGCTTGGAAATTAAAAAGCACACTATTCTTTCCCATGATTCCCCACCTTGTCACATAAAAGCAAGGTTACAATCATTCTTTTATCCTGTGCTTGTTCTATCTTGGCAGAAACCTTACCCATCTCCAGAGTATAAAATAAAAGCAATTTTTAGCCATTGTAAAGAATTCTTGGTTCTGTCTTCTACTTTGGTTCTCATTCTTTCTCCTGCACTAAATTAACATGAAATTGTGCTCGTCTTTCCACAGATGATAAACAGTTGACGGTGCTTAAATTCTTAATAGGTTTACTCTAGCCATTAGATAATTTGTCTATAGTAGTTTTTTTCTCAACAAACCAACCATGACATTTGTTGCAAAACAACAAACAAAAGTAACTTCTTTTTTTTTTCTTTTTTTTTTTCCTCCTGCTATTGCACTTTGCTAATTTTCTAATTTATAACCTGTTGAAACTAATTCAAATGTATGATGTCATGTTTTGTCTGTTGGCATTCTGGTCTGGCATCATGCCATCTGTGAGCTTTGAAACCAGCAGACAGGTATTTTCAAAGCCACACTGAGTTCACATGTCCATGTCATCATTAATTTTAATTCTTTATTATTTTGATTAAATGCAGTAAATTTATGTAGTAGCATTTCTTTTAATACTAACAAGATTTCCTTAGATTAGAATGGGTTAGTAAAAAAAAAAAAAAAAATCCTTATGACATGAATTTTTTAATAGCAAACACATTCAAAGATAAAACTTCACACTAACTTAAGTTAAAACTATTAAACTTTTTATCTGCCTCTCACACTTTGTTTATCTTTTGTTACCCTTTTTTTCTAACCTTAATTTTTTTTATTCACTTTTTTCCTCTCTGCTTCTCCCCTTTTTGCTTCTCTGTTTTTAATTTTAACTATCCTTCACAAAATCTCTTATTCTAAAGATTTAAATACTATTTTTTAATTTGTAGGTTTTACAGCATGTACGTCTACCACTTATGAGTCCAAAATTTTTGGTAGGAACTGTTGGCTCTGATCTCCTTATCAAAAGTGATGAGTCATGTCGGGATTTGTTGGATGAAGCCAAAAATTATCTGCTTTTACCTCAGGAGCGTCCACTCATGCAAGGCCCTCGCACACGGCCACGCAAGCCTATTCGCTGTGGGGAAGTATTATTTGCTGGTAAGCCTTCTCATCCACTTTTTTTTTTTGTTTTTCTTTCCATTAAGGGCATTTGATATATGACATAAGTCAACCATTTCACATTCTTGATGTGGCAGATTGGAGATTTATCTGTTATCAACACACTGATTGAGGCTGTGATACCCCTTGGAATAATATTTTTAATCATTCTGTTCATAAATGTTCCACTGAAGTCTCTTCTAAAGTGAAAGCCAGCATCAAAGTTTTTGTTCCAGTAGGGAAATACTAAGTGAAGTCACGATCATCTCCTTGATTCTCACCTGTCTGCTCAGCTGCTATAGCCCACAAGTATCACTTTTTCCAGCTATACCAGAGTGACCAGTCCGATTGTAGCAGATGTCTCTTTGTCATTGCTTGCAATGAGTGCAAGCATGTCCTCAAAGAAGCCGTGTCACTATTTGCTGATAGAATGAGACACCATTTAGCCTCTCACATATTTGGTTTCACAGATTACTGGCAGCTCTGCAAGAGCATGCTGAACAATAGCAAATCCTCAGTCCCTCCTCTCTTAAATCGATTTGAAGTATCAACATCCACAGCAGACAAGATAGTGCTCTTGACTCTGAGTACTCCTGCCAGAGTTCCCCCCCACCCCGGATAACAGAGGCTCTACTGAGTGATATGCACATAACCCTGTCATTAGTTTCTGACATCATTTCTAAATTAGATCCCCACATGGTAAGTGGATGTGGCAGGATCCCTGCTATTGTCCTGAAGAAATGTGTTCCTGAGCTGGCTCCTGTTCTCTCCAAACTTTACAACAAATACTTCACTGCTTCCGAGCTTGTTGTAAGTCCTCCTCTATACAAAGTTTAGATAGAAGACTATGCAAGCTGAAGGACGAATATTTGGCTTAATCCAATCATTCCTAAAAAAATCATATAATAAAGATCATTTTGAACAGGCATGCTTCTAGATCATTTTGCACTAATGCAGGAGTGCCTCAGGGCTCTATCCTTGGACCAACACACTTTCTAATCTTCAATAAACTCCCCGATATCATCACTTCCAACTAAGTATTTATGCAGATGACACACTTATTTACCCCTGTCTTAGTAGCAAATCCAACAGACCCAACAAAGTAAACCTGGCAACTGCTCTTGAAAAGGACCTTCAATCAGTGGATAACTGGGGCAAGAAATAGCTTGTAAATTTTAATGCCTCTAAAACAAAACTGCTTTCATTTAATCCCCACAGAGGACCTTTTCTGCCTGTCATCAACATGGCTGATGCTAAACTCCAGGAGAGCAACACTCTACATATTCTTAGCCTTACGTTTTACACTGATATGAAATGGAGCAACTATATTGAATCAATTGCTACATCTACTGCATGGAAAGTTGGTTCATTGTGTCAAATTTTTCTCATCACAATCCATCTTGCACATTTATAAATCTACCATGCATTGAATACTGGCACCATATCTAGTCTGCTGCTCCTGATGTACATCTTGAGATTCTTGACAGAATTCAAAAAACGGTCTGTAATGTAATCTATCCTGACCATGCATCTCAACCTTATTCACTGTCTCACCGATATGTGTCTTCCCTCTTTTCTACAAATATTTTTATGGTAACTGTTCTGACAAGCTTTTTTCCCCCCCACTGGTGTCCGAACTACATGAATTTAATTTACTAAATTGACAGTTAGGTCTCGCCATTTTAAGTTTGAACAAGCTAGATGCAACTGATCTTCTACTGTAACAGTTTCTTTTCTCATACTTCTCACCTGTGGAACTCTCTTCAGATTTCTTGCTTCCCTGATAACTATATTCTTCAAAAACCTAAATGAAACGTCAATCATCATCTTTTTTGTCTTTTCTTCTATCATCCCCGCTAACATCTTCTCATTCTTTTTCACTCTCTGTAAACTCCTGTGTCCTAGTGGCATTATCATTTGCTTGGGGTGAAATGATTTAAAAAAAAAAAAAAAAATGCCCATTTAGCAACAAATAAAATTAAATATTCAACTTTTTTTGCTTCCTTTTCACTAAAGGCATTGCTTCCTTTTCACTAAAGGCATTGCTTGCTTTTCACTAAAGGCATTGCTTGCTTTTCACTAAAGGCATTGCTTGCTTTTCACTAAAGGCATTGCTTGCTTTTCACTAAAGGCATTGCTTGCTTTTCACTAAAGGCATTGCTTGCTTTTCACTAAAGGCATTGCTTGCTTTTCACTAAAATTGGCATTGCTTGCTTTTCACTAAAGGCATTGCTTTGCTTTTCACTAAAGGCATTGCTTTGCTTTTCACTAAAGGCGTTGCTTGCTTTTCACTAAAGGCATTGCTTTGCTTTTTCACTAAAGGCATTGCTTGCTTTTTTCACTAAAGGCATTGCTTGCTTTTTCACTAAAGGCATTGCTTTGCTTTTCACTAAAGGCATTGCTTGCTTTTCACTAAAGGCATTGCTTGTTTTTCACTAAAGGCATTGCTTTGCTTTTTCACTAAAGGCTAAAAAGGCATTATTGCTTTTCACTAAAGGCATTGCTTGCTTTTCACTAAAGGCATTGCTTGCTTTTCACTAAAGGCATTACTTGTTTTCACTAAAGGCATTGTTTGCTTTTCACTAAAGGCAAGTTTGCTTGCTTTTCACTAAAGGCATTGCTTGCTTTTCACTAAAGGCATTGCTTTTTCTTTTCACTAAAGGCATTGCTTGCTTTTCACTAAAGGCATTGCTTTTTTCACTAAAGGCATTTTCACTAAAGGCATTGCTTGCTTTTCACTAAAGGCATTGCTTGCTTTTCACTAAAGGCATTGCTTGCTTTTCACTAAAGGCATTGCTTGCTTTTCACTAGCTTTTCACACTAAAGGCATTACTTGTTTTCACTAAAGCATTGCATTTCACTAAAGGCATTGTTTGCTTTTCACTAAAGGCATTGCTTGCTTTTTCACTAAAGGCATTGCTTGCTTTTCTTTTCTTTTTCACTAAAGGCATTGCACTAAAAACATTGCTTTTTTCACTAAAGGCATTGCTTGCTTTTCACTAAAGGCATTGCTTGCTTTTCACTAAAGGCACTTGGCATTGCTTTTTTCTACTAAAGGCATTGCTTGCTTTTCACTAAAGGCATTGCTTGCTTTTCACTAAAGGCATTGCTTGCTTTTCACTAAAGGCATTGCTTGCTTTTCACTAAAGGCATTGCTTGCTTTTCACTAAAGGCATTGCTTGCTTTTCACTAAAGGCATTGCTTGCTTTTCACTAAAGGCATTGCTTGCTTTTCACTAAAGGCATTGCACTAAAGCATTGCTTGCTTTTCACTAAAAGGCATTGCTTGCTTTTCACTAAAGGCATTGCTTTCTTTTCACTTTGCTTTTCACTAAAAGGCATTGCTTTCACTAAAGGCATTTTTTTTTTCACTAAAGGCATTGCTTGCTTTTCACTAAAGGCATTGCTTGCTTTTCACTAAAGGCATTGCTTGCTTTTCACTAAAGGCATTAATTTTTTACATTACTTTATTTTGCTCTTTATTAAAGATGTTATAGGATGACATAATTTGAAATTCAAAGGAGTGGATACTGTCTCTGCAAAACTCACAGATAAGTTGAACATTTAATTTTAAATGCACATATATTCAAAACTTCATCAATATTCCATACCACTTTAAGTAAGAGGTTCCATCCTGTCAGTTGGAGACCGTAGAATAAACTGTACTTCTGAAGTGGGTAAAAGTCCTCCAAAGGAGCTACATGTTTGCCATGGGTGCTGAGCTCTGATGTCTGAGTACGGAATCCTGGTGGCTGAGCAGCTTATGACTATGGAACTAAAAGGCTGCAACATTCCACTTTGGCCTTGGACTAGATGGGTGGTCGGAGTGGCCTGATTCAATCAATCAGTTGGTTACGCCCAGCCCTGTCATATATGACCTACACCAAATCTATAACAGCTTACACTCTCCCCAGCCCTCCACCAATATCACTAATACCCACTCCCAATGATGGAAATTGGTAGCTGAAAGTCAATCAATTTAGAAGATAAGGAATCAACATAGCTGCAAAACCCCAAACAATCTGTAATACTTGGATATTAGAAAAATGGAACACAGGTACTTGAGAACCCCTTCCAAAACAAGTATATTATTTACGTAGCACTGTCATGGCAAGGCAAATGGGTTTCCCCCTTGCTATGTTCCAACATCAGGCTCCAAGGTGGATAGGGAGCATAGATGATGAATCGATCTTAAAACTATCCATCTTTAAAAAATCATCCACGAAACCCCATGTGAACTCAGATTCAGACTGAATACAATAACTTTCCACAGTTTATTTTCTTGGAGGCAACTAGTAATGAACCATTCCTGATCCAAAAAGTCCTCTCTAAAGATATCACACCGAAAAATATCAAAAACTCTGAGACAGAACATTGCTGGTGGAGATCAATAAGAATAAATATGCAAGCACTTTATTACAAATAAAAAAAAAAAAATTCCAAGACATTAATATCAAAATATACCCCCACAAAATCTTAATTTTCTCAAAGGGAGTAATAAAAAATAATGAACTCTCCCTGTTGGAGGAAATAAAATCAGAGTTAAAGAACTAAGGTGACACTGATGCTAGAAGGATTGTAACAAAGAAAAATGTGGAAAAATAAATACAAACATTTACATTCTAACATTCAATGCTCCTTAACTACCAGAAACCATAAAGATTGAATATGAAGTAACAAAGGTTGAACAATATATTCAAACCTCCTCTAATGTTTTAGGTACCAGAAGTTTAGTCACCATAAGAACAATTGCATGAATAAACTAATATGTGGAAAATGCGGTATAAGGGACCCAAACCATATAGAAGAGGTCTGTCTAGATGAGACCAGGTGCTCAAATTTTTCTGAAAACCATGCCCACTCAAAGAACTGCAACATTTTTAAATGAGAAAAAGAAATAATTAAAATTAAATACCAAAAAAACATCCCCTTTTCAGACGCACCAAAAAGAGGTGATGATCTACACTAAAAATGATAGTTATGCCAATATAGCCCAAAGAA